GAGAAGCAAAGTATAGTAGGTTCTTGTTTATCGGAGGATTGGGAGAAACAAAATATAGTAGGTTCTTGTTTATCAGAGGATTGGGAGAAGCAAAGTATAGTAGGTTCTTGTTTGACAAAACGTGTAAAAGCAAAGAATATTGGTACGTTTCCTTGTATAAGATATTTTTGCATAAAAAACATGAGTTTCATGTTAATATTTAAATTGTTCGTGGTGCCTAGTTCTGACATGTAAACAAATGTTACATGTATGTGTTTATGTTGATTTTCAGAAGACTTTCATTGATAATTGAAAGCAATGGCTGGTTAAGAGAAAGGATGTCATTGATACCAACCTCTTCCTTTTATAGTAAAACTTGTTTTAATCATGTCACTTGTTAATTAAGCTACGCTAGTTATTGCATTTTGTAACTAAACAAAAGGATAAAATGAGAGTACCTGGTTTAGATAATCAGAGGAGATTTCAGGGATGGACACCAGCTCCTGTGTAATATATTAACATTGCTAGAGATGTCTGCCGTAGAAGTATGCTGGTGTCAAACTAATTGATTCACCTGGCTAGAGGTGTTCATGCCAAGAATAAGGCTATCTAGCTAATGTGTAGTTAATTATTTTAGGTGTCAAAGAGCTACACGTTTTTGTCACCTTTATCAGGTTTACGTTGGTCATACAGAGGTGTTAGATCATACACATCTGAAGGGTTTTATAGCAAGGTCAGGCTAAGGTCAACATTATATTAGGGACAGCGCAACTATGCACCAGATTATGCCGATTTGGATAACAGATCGTAACTACATGACAGCTTATAACATATTTGTAGCGCTGTCACGCTCTTACCACTCGAGGGGTTGATTATGTCACTCGCTCCTCGCCAGTCTGATGCATATGGCACATTCGAATATCATATTTTAATCAGATTGAATTGTATTGATATCGATACCTCATACAGTCAAATTATTACTTTATAATGTGTTGTATAATGGTAAATTACGTTTATTTAATAGTTGTTGAATTATTCAATCTTCATTGTTTAGGATAACAAACGTATGCACTTATTTAAGAATATTCTATAGAATGTTGGGCACAGTAAGCAAGAAAGAAATGTAGAAGATGTAATTGTTTGCATAACACAATTCGGTTATATTCCACTATTATATAATCTGGTAGGAATTATTCCAACAGATTGTGGTACTCAAATTGGATTTTGTGTGCATCTTTTCGAGACTGGGTTTTAACAAGGGCTGGTAAAGAAATGACGTAAGATACTTATTCAATAATATAATTTCGCATTAAGATATTTTGATATGTTGCTATTGATAGTAAGAATTTAAATAATTGCTTACATCTAACTTTATTTCTAGAGCTTGAAAACGCAAATGCAAATACGTCCTCTTCTTACTGAGATAGAGCTGGACTTGTGAAAGATGCGAGTGGGGTTGATATATCCTGAACGCCGTAAACATTGAAAAAAGCATTCTCACTGTGTTACTTTAGTCTGCGTTAAAGACGGTTTATCGTTGTCGACTGGCAGACTTGCTTTTTTCAACTATCCTTTATCAGTGGATACATGTGTGATAATTACAACTGTGGCTCAGGTCTTTGTGACCTACTAGTTTTCTGATTTTGATGATAGATAGCAAGCTGGTTGTCACGTTAAGTGCAAGAAACGTTGACTATTTCAGGTCACCGGATTTTGCCTGCGGTCTTTTTGAGTGTTCGCTATATTGCTCCATTGTCTACAAAGTTTCTGAACACTTGTGTGATAACTCTTGTCTATGTTGTAATTCTATTTATCGTTCTTTGCGTTCTATTAACACGAATCGGAGTGAATATATTTTGTATATGATTGTATTCTATGTTGCTGTGTATTGTTTCACATCCACCGTGTTTGATATGTTGCAGTTTCTCTGCCCTCATTCTGCCATGGTTGTTAGATATTCCTGTTACAGTTCGACTTGTTGGTGCTGTTATTGTATCAATTGTTCAGTTGCCTGGTGTTCATATAAAGTGCATGGCTACTTAACACCCGACATGCTTGTGGTTGTTTTAATCTATGCTTTTTTCCTCGTTATAACACAGAATAAATATTTTTAGTATTAAATCGAGTTATGTATGTTTTGTAATATCGGATAGGCAACTGTGCATTTCAATCTTTATCAATCAGCAATTTGTCACACTCCGTGATATATGATTCACTTAATCATGAATTGAATGACATTTAATTTTATCTATCAATGATAAAGTCAGAAAAGAACATGAATATAACAATAGAAAATTAATTAAGCGAATATGACTGTTAACCAAAGATACAATCCATTTTAATAGCTACTTCTTAAGACCTTGTTGCTCTCAATATTTTATATTCGTAAAATTAATTAGAAGTACTGACTGAAGTGAGTAACCAATGCCTTCTGACGTCAACAGGTACAAGATACCAGAAACTTTCTTTAAAGTCGCATACATGTAAACAAAGAACATTAGCTCTTGAGAGGTATTATAACGACAAACATATGTAAAATAACAATAACATATTATATTACAAGTAAAGGGAGATCATCACATATATTAATAAAAAGCAATTACAGAAATAGAAACTATCATATCCCAGGGTTCTAAGTGATTGGGAGGCCGCTTCTTACAAAGGTCCCCGGGATAGGACACTTTTGATACTATATATATATAAAAATTGTTAATATGAAATGTCATAGCTATTATTACCCTGGTGAGGTACACTTGTAGAACATGATTGTGATCGATACAGGCGAAGTTTTACAAGATGTTTGTATAAGGAAGTTATTATACTTATCTAATATGTTCTTATAATTTACAATACATGTATAATTATGCAGTCACGTCAGGGATTTGTCTCTCACAAGCGACAAATACACTCATCAAATGCACGAGTACTATACAAAATTACGTAATTGTGCGCTATAGTCGTCTCTTCCTACCAGTGTTGACCCGAGGCAACGTACAAACATAGGTGGTGAGCACACCTGTCTAAATAACACTGCGCCCGGGCAACTTTTGTAGGACGTTAAAATAATTGTGTGAACATATATACTGTTTATTTTGGGACTGCTCTTGGTAAAAGTGTTAATTATCTGCATCATACATTTGCATGTTACATGCTAATAAGATAATGCCACCACCGTTCTACACGTATATGGACTTTATTAATGTTTTGGACTAAAAGTAATATATGCGATTTAGAAACTTATACTCCAGGCAACTTACTACTTCACAATAATATGTCATAATTCACAAAAAAGGAGAACTTGGAATATAATTGCTACTACAAATTTGCTGAAGAGAATAACTTGCGGTTTGTTACTGTCCAGACTTTCGAGTGGTGCCGTGACAGTGTGTTACAATGCGTATCTTATTTTGAAATATCTATCGGTTGGCGCTCTGTCAAATGCTGTATACTGTACTACATGCATCCGGAGAAGTATTAATAAAAAAAAAAGGTTACCATAGAATATTACGATTGCTACATAGTATCAGTTTACCTTGCTATAATGATATCGCCTGTAAAATCTCTTAAGATATCTAGATCTGCTCTATCTGTGAAACTGGTTAACCGTAGAACAATTTTATCGTATGACGTTTCATTTGTATTCGCTTGCAGCTGCCGATGGTCATTATGAGAATTAATCGCCCTCTCTGACACCGTTTTACCGTTTACCTATATCATGTCTACCTGTATGGCCAAATGCTCTCTTGGTGTCACCGTATACTTTGTTATAAAATCGTTTTTAAAAGCTTTGCTGACAAAAATGTTTGTTTCGAGTTTTATGTCCCGTAAGAGCTAAGTAGAATGAGTGGCCAGTGATGATTGTACCACTCAAGGTCTATTTTAAAGTGACATTTTTGCTCAATGTCACAACTTGGACAATGTAGCAAATATAATACTTCGTCCGGTCATGTTATTCTAACAGCGGATTAATCGGAGGTGCCTGGGTGTTCACAAAGAGGAAAGAGTAGATAAACAAAAGTTGCAGATCCCGCGAAATTCAATGGGGTAGTAGATCACGTCATATCCCTACGACCGCTGTCCTGAACACGACACCTCTGGATTACACTTAATTCGGTAGGAGATCCCACGTTAGTCCCGCAAATGTCGTAAAGTGGGAAAAACGGCATGTCATGACAATTCTCTCCAAGGATGAAATGCTGCAATAGACATTTCCTTCATATTTTTACACTACTAAACCTGGTCTTGTTGTGGCGACTGATGACGAAATTGCAATACCTACTGTCCAAGAGCCTCGATTAATGAGTGAGAGAGAGAGAGAGAGAGAGAGAGAGAGAGAGAGAGAGAGAGA